CCTCTCTCATATTGTTTATTCTCTTGGATTTACAAGGCCTCTGTAACCTCTCTAACCATACTTTCTCTACTTCTATCCCATTCTTCTCCTCTCCTGCTTTCACCAAATCTCAGATACGTGTCTACTTCATTTTAAGTACAAGCGGTGCAAGTGTAATTTCTTCGTAGCAAATTTTCGCTCTGTCTATTGTAATACATTTCTATATAGTGATAGATTAGTCGTAAAACAAGAGAAAGATTTTTAAAAAAGGCTGTACGCATTATATTATATTGTATCAGGCAATATTCGCGTAGAAATATTTCCGCAACGGAATGCAGCGATTGTTCGTAAGTTCCCTCGCCCGTCACTTCGATATATCGATAGTCTCGCGACCGCGTCAGACGATCACGATACACAAGTGTGTTTACGCGCGGCGTGGCGCGATGACGGTTCGTGACAGCAGTAGTTGTCCAGCGTCACGTCGAGAGGAAACCTGCGCGTAAACGCGTCGCGTCGCATCGTCCGCTCGAAGCGAGTTCGCGCGGGTTATTGCCGCAACGTGTGCCGGAACAGCGTCCAGCTTCTCACCGTGACATTCTCCTGACGAGCGAACGCGATTGTCCTTCGTCTTGCTCCAAGTCGAAGATAGGAATCGGTGTAATTCGCAACGGGGAACAGTGTGAACGCTGCCGCCCACGCTGCCACGCCGCGATTGGTCGAGCGTGCGCGTCACGTCGCCTCGCGATTCGCTCGTCGCTAGTTACGTCCGCTATAGCCGTTCCTTCCGCTTTCGGCGAGCTGCGACAACGCTCTTTCCCATCCGCACCGGCAACAACGAGAAGAGAAGATACGCAAAAAACGTAAGTGACAAAATATCGATTTCACGAAATTCGCGATAAATCGGGAGACGAGCGCGTCGATAAATTCGCGACGAGTGCGTCGACGGCACGCGGCGAGGTTAGAGTCACTCGCGAATCGAAAGGTACAGCGAATCTCAACGTCAATCAGCTGGCGCCATGTGCTCCCATTCGAAAAGATCGCTAATGGCGTGATGACGACTGGAAAGTTTGGACGCGAGAGGAAGGGAAAAAAAGTAGGAAAGAAGACTGATCTGACGTTTCTTCAGGTGTATCGCACTCGTGTGTCGTTGTAGTGGTATGTCTTTAACAAACGCCATTGCGCGGAATATTCTAATCCACTGAAGAGCACCCGCATCAATATTTATGTATTCCCAAGTAAGCGACGCGGTATGCTCTCTTGTGTATATCGGCGATTCTTTTCTATGCAAGGCAGTTAGAACGTATTTTATATGCCTCGCGACAACCATCGTACATAATGGCGCTTCGAAACAAGCAGCAGAATACGCGTTGGAATCGTTTCCTTCGCATTTCCGCGAATAATAATTTCTTGCGTGGAAACAATTGTTAACCTGTCGATATTATTGTTGGAAATTTTTATCAATCATCACGTTCGTGTATCTCGCTGGTATAATTGGAGAGACAATTATCCTGAATTCTTTCTCACGTGAGGAGAATTGCGATAGGTCGTCTTTCATAGTTTCGTAATTAGCGTTAGTGTCTTATCGCAGAGTGTCATCTCCGTGATAAGGAGAGATATGTGGCGCACTTTCGCGTATATAAAGACTGATTGGAACGTGTGACGTACATCGATTTTAATAGATACAGAGCCTGTCAGATGCAAAGTGTGTTGACAGGTAAAGAAAACAACTTTTAACTATTGTATAAGGGACGCTTGGCTTCAACACTTTATTTTTCTCTCATAGACGTAATAAACGATATGCAATATGAGGGACACGATGACGAATATACCGAAGAAATGTACAGCTCGAAATGAACAAAATTTTCCTTATCATGTTCTTTCATTGTGAATAAATATATATTCCGAAAGATTTCACTCGCATACATTTTGGCAGTCGAGCTAAATCGCTCGGCTTGCGTTCGAGAAATCTGTGGCTGACAATGCAGTCATGCCGACAGCACGAACAATCGCACGTGCTTAAAGAGATAAACGTATTTGCAGAACTATGGAGGATGTTGTCACAGTGAACGGGATGAAGGAGGTGAACGGTGGCGGGGATAGAGTCTACTACGAATTGGACGGCGAAGGTGATGCCGACAGCTCGACTACACCGGGTCATAACGTGGACCATCATCGTGATCGTGAGTATTATCGATCTGTTCAACAATGTACTTGGTTCACTGCTAGCGGCATTCTAAATTAACGCTAGTGTCGTCGCTCGTTCTAACATCCCGTATGTAACAAGATGCCGCGATAAAACTCGTATTTCGAGTGTCACAATATTATTATTACGAAATCATTCTCTCAAGTCTCAGGATGTTGATGTATGAGGCGGACGTTTTTCTTTAGCTTCTTGATATAACACGAAAAAGTTGCAAACTCACACGGAGAGAATGTCATAGCGAAAGTTATAGAAGTAAAATTCATAAATCGAGGAATAAAATCACATTCTGCGGTAATTGACTGTCCTTTCATTTCTTACTATTTATACTTCAGCGACTGAAATGAGCTGTTTAAAAAGTTCACTATGTTTTCAACGAAACACACCATGTTCTCTTATCAAGATAGATTTTGAATGAGTCTATTTCTACTCACCACTACACAGAAAGAACGATTTGGTTGAATCAAAAACACTTTGGAACGATCCAAACGAATTATTTGATTAATCGAACAAAATTTTATTTGACGCAACAAAAATATTTATTTGCGGCTTAGTTCCAAAGAGATATTTTTTGTGTATTTCAACCAAAAAACTTATTTGGACTATTCCAAAGAAACGTTTATTTGATTCAACAAATCGTTCTCTCTGTGTAGAGAAATATAACAGAACTGAAAAGAATTTATATAAGAAGAAAAGAACTATAATATTCGCTTCGTGTATTCTTTCGTTTATTCGTCAAATCGAGATTACTGCTTGACTTTTTGAGAGATGATTCAAGAAGACAAAAATTTCTTAAGGGACAGCTCAATCGCAAGTGTCGCAGAATCATTTCTCGACTGAATCGCGTGACTTTAAATAGGCGCCGTGTTTTTCACTATTTGGCGTTTCATATACGCGACACCTCGGTCAATCACCTTTGCTCGGGATTACGTTTCGCGCTCGTTTCGCCACGGCGTTAGACAGCACATTATAACAGCAGTCACGACTCGCGCGGAGCTGCTTATCCGGCTGCACGAAAGGCGAAGTTAATTAAAGTTCGCGAGGCGAGCACGGATCGATGCGAATTATGCACGAATACAAGCGGCGATCGCGAGAGAGGAGGGATGAGCGTCTCAGCGATTTTCCATTGTCAGACTTCGTCGAACTTGGCGGTGTTTCGCACAGTGTCATTACGACTACTCGGGGTAGTCGGGACAATCGGTGAAAGCGAGGAAAATTGAGAACGACCGCAGAATATTGACAAAAGCGAGGTAAGCCAGAAAATCCAGCAATCTTTCACAATAATGGGTGGAGGCAAGGTGAAAGATTGTTTGACGTACAACTTTCCGTCATGAAAAAATTATTTTTGTCATTGGAACTAAAGTATTTGGTACATACGATTTAGTTGGCATTGATTAAGTCTTTCGTTTGTGTCAAGTGAGATCTATCAGCGAGAAAGTAAGACACACCAGCGGCAATTAAATTTTTCGGTTGCAATCACCAAACATTTAGTTGATGCCATTTTAACTATCAATGTTTATTTTCAATTTGTTTATTTTCACTTCATGAATATGATGTAGTTTTAGTAGAAAAAGGTTAAAAATTTTATATTTGACGGAATAAGACTGTGGTACGCCCACTCGGATTTTTAAGAGGACATTGTCGTCATCACTCGCGACATTATCGTCTTTTATAATTCATAGTCGAGTTGACGGTAAATGTTGCAAACCGTACATTTTTCGCTTACCGCTAACTGTTTGCATCTAGACTAGACGTATGGTAGACGAAAGAGATAGATAAGGAAGATTTGAACGCGTTTTCTTTTTTCTCCCGTTTGCAATGTTGCAACTCGATTTATCTTATGAGATATCGAGGAGCCTTAATCGCGGTTTATCGATAAATACGTCGTGTCGATCGACGCGAATGAAGGTTTCGAGAATTGGCAGGTAGCCTAGACCTTCTGCAGGCGGCCGATAGTATTTTGGCCGTCGTCACAATAGTGCCGTCAGTGTTACGTCTCGTCAGTGCGAGGCGCGAGACTTTCGGAACACGAATAGAAACAAGACAACGCGGGAGTTAGTTTCGCAGCGGTGGACCGTGATTCACGACCGCGCCGCGGAGTTTCGTTCTGGAGTGTTCTTCGAAACCTCCTTTTGTATAGTCGTCGATCTTGGTGTGGTGCGCGTAAAATCTCGACGAATCCGTGATAAAAAGCAGAAGAGGAAAATTTTGTACATTTTGCAATTGCAATTTTCTTTCTCAGCAAATCATGCATCGCAAGGAATCGATAATTCCACGATAAAATCATAAGTCTGTTTGATTCATTTTCGTTAAATTTCACATCTCCATGTTTTGCTTCAAACACTTTCGGGGCGAAAATTTCGCGCACGAATACACGACAAATTCTTAAGCATGGGTCAAATTTATTCAGATCAACTTTTTAAACGTAACTATTCTTAAAGAGCTATATTTTTTTTCCCATTATAACTACTTTATCGAATCTCAAAGACATTGAAAGATTTATATTCCTCGATGTTTTCTAAATCGATTCAAATGGAAGAATCGATTCTTCGGAAAAGGGATCGGTCATTTTCGCGTAAGTTATGAGCAAGTGCATCGGGTAAAAGTTACATAACTTTTTGATATTTCGTGTTCTAGAGTTGAGCTTCGTTTGGGTGTGATCGAAAAATTCACGGGCTTGTTTTGCATTTCCAATTCGCACTTCGTCCATAATCGTTTCAAGGACATCGGACACGACGATCAGTAGATTTCTTACTTGCGTTGCAACGCGCGACATCTTCGGCACCGGGACGTGAAGTCACGTTGTTAAATACGATATATCTTATCATTCGTTCACGGTGGTACTTTGTGGCACCTTTCGAAAGCCCTTGGAGAGTCTTTTATTACTGAGTAGGACAAGCACGTCGATTGATCTCGCGTCGAAATAGAGAGTCGCGTTCGACCTGTGCACGATTTGCGTTGCATTGAGGATCGCGTGACCCGGTGGAAAAATGTCGATCAGGGGTGTGACCACTTTGGAGAACGAGGCGTTCCTTGGCATACGCTTGCCGAATTTCCTGATCGATCCGGACGAAGGTAAAAATGAACGTGAGGGTCTTCTCGTTTTTTGTCAGCTTGCCTCGTCATAGTCGATATTACGGCAAAACTTTCCGCTGTCGTGACAGTACCGCTTTTCTACAAGACTATTTCGTGAATACTAGATTTGTGACGTGTGTGTTTGCGCGAATAACGACTCTGCACGGAGAGAATGTTAGTTTCTTTTTCATGCAAATTCTTGTTCATTTTCTTGTCACTATGTCACGAGAGAATTTTATAGTAAAAATCGCTATAGATATAGAATCTTGTAATCGAGGAATAGATCGGCATTGTAAAATAATTCACTCTATGCTTTCGTTTCATGTGTTTTACTTATATTCTAAGGAGTGAAGTGTGCTATTAACATTTGCTATGTTCTTAAACAAATTTATTGTATTTTTTAACAAGATAGACTTTAATGACAGTCTATTTCTGGAGTCGTAAAAATAATAAAATTGGAAAGAATTTATATGAAAGAAAACTATCGTATTCCCTCCGTATATATAGTAATCAAGACCTGTTTTGCCAAGGAACATGGAAAATTTCGCTAGAAATACAGTAAACTTTTTTAACAACACATCAATCGCTGAGATATAAATAATGCATATGAAATGAAAGGACAGTCAATTACTGCAAAAAATGCCAAACTATTTCTTGATTAAAAAATTCTACAGTACTTTCTGCTATGTGAATTTCTCTCTGCGTACACGTTGTAATCGCCTTCGTTCCTTACCTCCTTAATAACAAGACCAATAATCGTCATTTATCTGTCTACCTTCCTGGAGAAATGCATTCATCACGACTGCGTTATAGATTCTCACGTTGGCGCAGTACAGCGTGCGTTCTCGCGAAATAGACGCTGAATTCGTTCGCTGTTCCTCCACTATTTCCCGACATAAATCATATCGCTTATCCATTTATCGGAGCAATAAGTAAAACCAACTCCCCGTTGAAGCCGCGATTTTACCAGTGATGCAAATTATCGCGACTGCCGGCGAGATAGATGAAAACGCACTACTTCGACATTTCGTTAATGGCAAACGTAGTCACGGCGGTTTCTACGAGGCGCATTATTGCGAGCGCTCCACGCAAATTGTCAAGCCATTTTAAGTTTTACATGGTGGAAATAACGTTCTCTAGGGTTAGCGAGTTATTACGATACTCAAAATCCCGAGTAATCTCTACCATATCGCCTACGACCAAGACTGCAGCATACGTCGCGACGATTATCTGCTGTTGCGTAACCCTCACGCGCGGCCCATTTCCATCTACCGAGTTCTGTCAAGCAGTCTTATCGATTATTATATTTTTTTAAGAGGAAACATGCACGCGCGTCATTGCAAAACATACCAAAAAAAATGAGTTTTAAATTTACATCTCTTTAAAAAAATGGAAACTGTACTTTTTATTGACTTTCCGTGACCTCAGTGAATAATTAAATCATAACGAATGGTAACGCGTAAACTTCATTTCTCTCCTCGCTCTCTTTCTCTCTCGTTTCTTTAATATTCTTTAACGTGGATTTAAACGGCTCGGGGGGAAGTTTTTGAACCGCGTTTCACGAACGCGTCTCGTCGCGAATCTTTCAACTCCATTGCGTGTTAGTATTGCAACAAAAAAGCTGGCAGCATCGCAAGAGCGATCTTTCATGGCTCAAGTGTTAACGCCAATGCCAGTAGGTATCGAAAATACCTACACCGGCTTATTTTTATGCCGTGATATATTTATAGCAAATGCATCCTGAGCACGCGCCAGTTAGGTGAATACGAGGAAGTAAAACGTTCGATAGCGGTGAATTTTGTGGCGCACCTCTCTCTCTCTCTCTCTCTCTCCCTCTCTCTCTCTCGCCCATGGCGTAGGTAACCGTGCCAAGAAGGATGGTATTGATCCTTACCACGGTTCCAC